CCTTTTGCTTCATTAATATCTTTCCTTATTGTAAATAAATTTCGTATGATACAGCGTAGTTTTCTCTGAGGCATGTTGAGGCATGTGTGAGATCTGCATTGCCTCTATCAGTAGATATAGGTGATTTCAAGCTGATGTACATGCGAAGAATAATTGCATTCCCTGGGCATCTGGGAATGAAAATTCGATGCTAAATAAATCGAGAATCAGCTTGATACAAAAGTGTGAGTTTGTTGGCCAGGCTTTAAATGGGAATATTGTGTTTTTAATGGGAAGACCGTCAGTAGAAATAATGTCAGTAAAATGTATGAGCAGATCAATCACTGACTAGGATGATTATGCCTTATTTTGATGCATACAAGTCATATGTGATTACGTGTAATTTACAATTTTGATGATATTGGGTTAATGGAATACGACCGCGTGGCAAATTTGTTATTCTCAAATGCCGATGGAATACGACAAGAAGTAGAGTGAGATTGCGGTGAGCGAGAAATTCGTGGACTGCCTTTCTTTTCTTAATATTTAGCCACCATGAACTTAAAATCATGGAGGCTTAGAAAAATAATTCGCAATTTTGAAGAACCTCAATTTGCGGAGGAAATTTATCATCACCTGTATTAAAACTGTCTACCATCCCACAAACATCCATTTTTTAAATTCATTAGATGATTTGATCTCAACATAAAATTCGGGAATCTCAACATTTACTCGACTCAAAATACTGTATTTCACCTCTCCAAATTCAATATTTCTCAATCGCCAATTTACAGACACACGTTCACGCCTAATACTACTTATGTAATTGATATGAGCGACTATCTGTTTCATAGAAAAATCATCATTCATCAATCATGAAATCGCGTACACTTCACTCGCACCGCCTTCACTCACCAGCTATATGACTTCAGATATGTCCTATTGATAACTTAGTGTATGCCTGCAGATATGAAAACGCATTGTTATGATATAATTTATGTGATTATAGAAATTCATTCATAGCACGTTCAATGACACAGTGGCATTACCGAGATAATAGGGACAAACTTGTTAAGCAAGTAAGGTGAAACAGCGAAAGTTCCTGCTTGACCATGCATAAATACCATCGGAATAACTTGATCACAGTTTAATGTTACGGTTTTATGCACAGAAGCATTTCTTCTCATCCCCCTTGATCTTGTTTCTGTCATGGTTGGGTGTTTCTCGTTTGTGTTTCACTTATGTGTCGACCCGTGCTATTTTTCTCTCTCACCGGTTTCCAATGGTCAGTGAATCAGTCAGTCACGATTTGTACTCCATGCGAGAATATTATCTACTTTCCTTGCCGGTTTTTCTTCTCTGAAAGTAGTCGATGAAAATCTTTAAAAATATTCTTTTACATACAATTCAACTAGGTGAGGTTTCTAGGTTTGATCACGAGGTTATATCAGTCACGGAATCATTGAAAAACTAGAGAGTACTGAGCAGCTGTTCCCTCCTAATCTAAGACTCAAAGTCAGCGCTCAGTTACCCGCTAAAAACATTAGATGGTGATCTCGCTATACAAATCCTGAAGTTGCCATTCGATTGGGTCCCTCTGTTTGGATGGCCTGAGAGCTCTCTCTATAATCAGAAGATCTTGGGTTCGAACCCTGATTTGTGACTACTTCTGAACAGGAATTAACAATGAAGAAACAGCTGTCCAATACTCCATGGATTTTCAATAGTTTTTCATCTTATGTCAACTCGTATTGATATCTGTAACCAATCAAATGACTGCAAACTAACACTCGATAGGTAGAGCTTTGTATTCTTCACTTTTAGGAGACGAAACAGTGATGTTATGCACGAACGTTATTATGAAGAGAAATTGAAGACTTAAGCAATATCTACGGTATGACTGACTTTCTCCTCCCACGTTAGTCGGTGTGTAGTGAAATTAATCCCTGAAGAAGAATAATACGATTTCGTTTCATTTCGAAACTATCCGCCAGTTGTTTACAACCTATAGAATTCTAAAATCTCAAATCACGCCGTCCGTATTTCCATTGGTGTATGTTAACACACAGTTTGAAATCCATCGCTTACTTAATTGAAGAAAACCGAATATTCTTCATACAATATCCAAATGAAATGATGATCTATGGCATACGATGTGATCCAATATAGTTCAAAATAAAGCATGATCTAATCCACCACTATCTATACCTTTGCATCATTTTCTTCAAGAATTGCAGAACAATAGTTTGAAATTGAAATTAAAATATGCGGTAGTTTATGCCATATCAAGGGACATGATTGGCTTAGAGCGAAATAAGTGATGGACAAAAGTGCAAGCATCAAACTTGACAAAATTAGGCGGTTCATTGTGATTAAAACAGCTATACACTAGACTAAAAGGAAGACAATAGAGAATCTGAATTTTGCTGATGATCTGTGCCTTAACTATCAACATGCACAAACAAACAAGTTGATAAGAGATGGAACGAAGACAGGATTCCTGTTGAATTAGTGTAGCGAATATGGAAAACAGATTTCCAATAACCAACTGCAGACTATCATCAACATCTGCCCTCCAAAGATACTAAGGAACAGATGGCCCACAAGAGAGGATAAGCAACGCGACAAGAAACTGTCACACTGGAGCTAACCAGTCAACACCATATTGCTCAACTAACGAATATTCCGAAGGAAGTGGAAATGAAGTGGTTGAATACTGAGGAGATATTTTTGATAACACCATTAACAATTAACGCTCTCGACTGGACGGCAAATGTTAATTCAATTTCTGTGAATGGACCTCATGGTAGCTCGAGAGAGATAATGTGAGCAATGAATGGAAGCTTGCATACAGCTGTGGAGTTAGCCTTAAAGTCATCAGGAAACAGGAGTTTATGTCAATGTAGTCACTGAGCCCTCTGTTTCACTGAGAACGCAAAAAATGTAGAATAGTTCCTTTTCCTGGAAATAGGAACCCAACTGTAGAAATTAGTTAGTTGTCCGTTCCAAGTACGTTTCCGGTGGATAGATCTTTTGAGAGATCCGTCATCACGTCTGCTAAGGCACTCATCAAGAAAGGGAATACTTAGTTCGGACTCCTTTTCTATGGTGAATTGTAAAGAAGGATGGCAGTTGTTGAAAGCAAACATGACATCATCAAGAATTACATTTCTATCGCAGATAACGAAAGTGTCGTCTACGTATCTTTTATAAATGTCAAAATGACCGATGGTTTGACTAAGTTGAGAATTTTCAAGCTTTGCCATAAAACAATCAGCTAACAAGGGACCCAGTGGTGATCCCATGGCAATGCCGTCTCTCTGTCTAAAGATCTCATTATTGAAGGTGAACTGAACATTCAACGTGCATCTCAATAAAAGCTCTTTGAGGTAGACAGTCGGCAGTCCTATTTCTAAACTATGTGTATTAATATAGTCACATAAGTAGCAAACAGTTTCCATGAGAGGAACATTGGTGAATAGCGACGTCACATCTAATGAGAACAAGATTTTGTCTGGGACATTGAAATCTTGAATGCAATCAATAAATTTAAACGCATCATCAATGGAAAACTTAGGTACTTGCCTTCTGACTGGTTCCAGTATTTCAGCTAGCCATGAGCGATTCCGTGAAAAGGAGAACCCGCCATATTGAGGATAGGACGGAGGGGTAATCCTGTCTTATGAATTTCAGGTAGTCCATAAGAATGTTGATAAGACATGGAACGAAGACAGGATTCAAGTTCAATAAAGAAAACAGATTTCCAATAACCAACTGCAGACTATTATCAATATCTGCCTTCCCAAGAGACTGAGGAATAGGTGGCCCACCAGAGAGGATGAGCAATGCTACAAAATGCTGTGACAGTGAAGCTAACCAGTCAACACCATATTGCTCAACCAACGAATATTCCGAAGGAAGTGGAGATGAAGTGGATGTATAGTGATGAGACATTTTTGGTAACACCATTCACCATGAACGCCCTCGACAGCAGGGCTAATGTTAATTCAATTTCTGTGAATGGACCTCATGATAACTCGAGAGAGATAATGTGAACAAGGAATGGAAGCTTGCATACAGCCTTGGTGTTAGCCTTAAAGTCATCAGGAAACAGAAGTTTATGTCACTGCTGTAACTGAGCCCTCTGTTTCACTGAGAACGCAAACAATGTAGAATAGTATGTGACCTTTGGTGATAGTTGTCACTGGACGTAGACGAAGTGTATGGAGTAAGATACATTAAAGTGCCGTAATTTAGTATTGTGGAATCAAAAAAATAACAATTGCATCAACACCGTAACTGATAGGTAACAGAAAATCGAAGACTGGTGAAATCTCCGAAATTGTTCTCATTTCTGAATTATCAATTCAAGAAGGAGAGATTTGATTGAGAGAACTTCAAGTTGGATTTCGCCACGAACCACCATTAGTCACAGAACCATTGACAACCAAGGATGATCAGATATTATTTTATCCTGCCTCAAGGATTTTCAGCAGTACACCCATTTTGAATCCACGACAAATTGTTGGCGGGAACAAACTTGAAATAACTGATTTTATAATTGAAGAAAGTGGGATGAATTGAATGAAGGTAAAGAGAGAAAATTACACATACACCCACAGATAACAAAACAAGAAACTGAAGGATAAGGGAACATACCGAACCAGGTCCAAGGTAGTTGTACAGGCTGGACTAGTTTCTTTCGAACACATAGCTCCGGCTTTTCGATGCATATGGCGAGAGCTTCCGCCCTACAAAGAAGTCGGAAGCACACTGTCTTTGGCATATTTTTGAAAGTGCCTATCTTCCATTCTCGTGCATGATCACACCATGCAATGAGCATAACAATGCATGAACTGTTTTAATTGGTGAGTGAGACCATTGTAACGAAACTATGATGCATAACGTGATTTATGAATGATGATATTTGAATAACACGCATGGTCGCTTAATTCACTAATATAAGTAGTATAGTGCGTGTGCACATGCGATACAGTCACATCGGTATATATTGCAGTTAGGAAGGTGAAATACAAGATTTTGTGACTGCAATCTTCTGAAAATTGCGACAGTTTTCTTCTAGGAATGAGAAATTGCATATTGAAATCGTATTATTTCGTAATTTTCCATCACTTGTGCTAAATGGTTATTTGTGGTGTGGTAGTCAGTTTTATTACAGGTCATGACTGCAGTCACATGTGCACACGCACTATACTACTTATATAAGTGAATTAAGCGACCATGCGTGTTATTCAAATATCATCATTCATAAATCACGTTATGCATCATAGTTTCGTTACAATGGTCTCACTCACCAATTAAAACAGTTCATGCATTGTTATGCTCATTGCATGGTGTGATCATGCACGAGAATGGAAGATAGGCACTTTCAAAAATATGCCAAAGACAGTGTGCTTCCGACTTCTTTGTAGGGCGGAAGCTCTCGCCATATGCATCGAAAAGCCGGAGCTATGTGTTCGAAAGAAACTAGTCCAGCCTGTACAACTACCTTGGACCTGGTTCCGTATGTTCCCTTATCCTTCAGTTTCTTGTTTTGTTATCTGTGGGTGTATGTGTAATTTTCTCTCTTTACCTTCATTCAATTCATCCTATTTTTTCAGTTATAAAATCAGTTATTTCAAGTTTGTTCCCGCCAACAATTTGTCGTGGATTCAAAATGGGTGTACTGCTGAAAATCCTTGAGGCAGGATAAAATAATATCTGATCATCCTTGGTTGTCAATGGTTCTGTGACTAATGGTGGTTCGTGGCGAAATCCAACTTGAAGTTCTCTCAATCAAATCTCTCCTTCTTGAATTGATAATTCAGAAATGAGAACAATTTCGGAGATTTCACCAGTCTTCGATTTTCTGTTACCTATCAGTTACGGTGTTGATGCAATTGTTATTTTTTTGATTCCACAATACTAAATTACGGCACTTTAATGTATCTTACTCCATACACTTCGTCTACGTCCAGTGACAACTATCACCAAAGGTCACATACTATTCTACATTGTTTGCGTTCTCAGTGAAACAGAGGGCTCAGTTACAGCAGTGACATAAAATTCTGTTTCCTGATGACTTTAAGGCTAACACCAAGGCTGTATGCAAGCTTCCATTCCTTGTTCACATTATCTCTCTCGAGTTATCATGAGGTCCATTCACAGAAATTGAATTAACATTAGCCCTGCTGTCGAGGGCGTTCATGGTGAATGGTGTTACCAAAAATGTCTCATCACTATACATCCACTTCATCTCCACTTCCTTCGGAATATTCGTTGGTTGAGCAATATGGTGTTGACTGGTTAGCTTCACTGTCACAGCATTTTGTAGCATTGCTCATCCTCTCTGGTGGGCCACCTATTCCTCAGTCTCTTGGGAAGGCAGATATTGATAATAGTCTGCAGTTGGTTATTGGAAATCTGTTTTCTTTATTGAACTTGAATCCTGTCTTCGTTCCATGTCTTATCAACATTCTTATGGACTACCTGAAATTCATAAGACAGGATTACCCCTCCGTCCTATCCTCAATATGGCGGGTTCTCCTTTTCACGGAATCGCTCATGGCTAGCTGAAATACTGGAACCAGTCAGAAGGCAAGTACCTAAGTTTTCCATTGATGATGCGTTTAAATTTATTGATTGCATTCAAGATTTCAATGTCCCAGACAAAATCTTGTTCTCATTAGATGTGACGTCGCTATTCACCAATGTTCCTTTCATGGAAACTGTTTGCTACTTATGTGACTATATTAATACACATAGTTTAGAAATAGGACTGCCGACTATCTACCTCAAAGAGCTTTTATTGAGATGCACGTTGAATGTTCAGTTCACCTTCAATAATGAGATCTTTAGACAGAGAGACGGCATTGCCATGGGATCACCACTGGGTCCCTTGTTAGCTGATTGTTTTATGGCAAAGCTTGAAAATTCTCAACTTAGTCAAACCATCGGTCATTTTGACATTTATAAAAGATACGTAGACGACACTTTCGTTATCTGCGATAGAAATGTAATTCTTGATGATGTCATGTTTGCTTTCAACAACTGCCATCCTTCTTTACAATTCACCATAGAAAAGGAGTCCGAACTAAGTATTCCCTTTCTTGATGAGTGCCTTAGCAGACGTAATGACGGATCTCTCAAAAGATCTATCCACCGGAAACGTACTTGGAACGGACAACTAACTAATTTCTACAGTTGGGTTCCTATTTCCAGGAAAAGGAACTATTCTACATTTTTTGCGTTCTCAGTGAAACAGAGGGCTCAGTGACTACATTGACATAAACTCCTGTTTCCTGATGACTTTAAGGCTAACTCCACAGCTGTATGCAAGCTTCCATTCATTGCTCACATTATCTCTCTCGAGCTACCATGAGGTCCATTCACAGAAATTGAATTAACATTTGCCGTCCAGTCGAGAGCGTTAATTGTTAATGGTGTTATCAAAAATATCTCCTCAGTATTCAACCACTTCATTTCCACTTCCTTCGGAATATTCGTTAGTTGAGCAATATGGTGTTGACTGGTTAGCTCCAGTGTGACAGTTTCTTGTCGCGTTGCTTATCCTCTCTTGTGGGCCATCTGTTCCTTAGTATCTTTGGAGGGCAGATGTTGATGATAGTCTGCAGTTGGTTATTGGAAATCTGTTTTCCATATTCGCTACACTAATTCAACAGGAATCCTGTCTTCGTTCCATCTCTTATCAACTTGTTTGTTTGTGCATGTTGATAGTTAAGGCACAGATCATCAGCAAAATTCAGATTCTCTATTGTCTTCCTTTTAGTCTAGTGTATAGCTGTTTTAATCACAATGAACCGCCTAATTTTGTCAAGTTTGATGCTTGCACTTTTGTCCATCACTTATTTCGCTCTAAGCCAATCATGTCCCTTGATATGGCATAAACTACCGCATATTTTAATTTCAATTTCAAACTATTGTTCTGCAATTCTTGAAGAAAATGATGCAAAGGTATAGATAGTGGTGGATTAGATCATGCTTTATTTTGAACTATATTGGATCACATCGTATGCCATAGATCATCATTTCATTTGGATATTGTATGAAGAATATTCGGTTTTCTTCAATTAAGTAAGCGATGGATTTCAAACTGTGTGTTAACATACACCAATGGAAATACGGACGGCGTGATTTGAGATTTTAGAATTCTATAGGTTGTAAACAACTGGCGGATAGTTTCGAAATGAAACGAAATCGTATTATTCTTCTTCAGGGATTAATTTCACTACACACCGACTAACGTGGGAGGAGAAAGTCAGTCATACCGTAGATATTGCTTAAGTCTTCAATTTCTCTTCATAATAACGTTCGTGCATAACATCACTGTTTCGTCTCCTAAAAGTGAAGAATACAAAGCTCTACCTATCGAGTGTTAGTTTGCAGTCATTTGATTGGTTACAGATATCAATACGAGTTGACATAAGATGAAAAACTATTGAAAATCCATGGAGTATTGGACAGCTGTTTCTTCATTGTTAATTCCTGTTCAGAAGTAGTCACAAATCAGGGTTCGAACCCAAGATCTTCTGATTATAGAGAGAGCTCTCAGGCCATCCAAACAGAGGGACCCAATCGAATGGCAACTTCAGGATTTGTATAGCGAGATCACCATCTAATGTTTTTAGCGGGTAACTGAGCGCTGACTTTGAGTCTTAGATTAGGAGGGAACAGCTGCTCAGTACTCTCTAGTTTTTCAATGATTCCGTGACTGATATAACCTCGTGATCAAACCTAGAAACCTCACCTAGTTGAATTGTATGTAAAAGAATATTTTTAAAGATTTTCATCGACTACTTTCAGAGAAGAAAAACCGGCAAGGAAAGTAGATAATATTCTCGCATGGAGTACAAATCGTGACTGACTGATTCACTGACCATTGGAAACCGGTGAGAGAGAAGAATAGCACGGGTCGACATATGATTAAAACACAAATGAGAAACACCCAACCATGACAGAAACAAGATCAAGGGGGATGAGAAGAAATGCTTCTGTGCATAAAACCGTAACATTAAACTGTGATCAAGTTATTCCGATGGTATTTATGCATGGTCAAGCAGGAACTTTCGCTGTTTCACCTTACTTGCTTAACAAGTTTGTCCCTATTATCTCGGTAATGCCACTGTGTCATTAATAATAATAATTTTGCTTTATTCCAAAAACAGTATTAATGATACAGCAAGGAATTTTCAGCATTCAGTACAGTATTGCATCTAATTTACTCAAAAACGACAACAACAAACAAAAAAAATAGATAAACGGAATAATTAATACATAATAATGATAACAAAACGTTTTTATAGGAGCTATGTAGCAATTACAGTAGAGGATAAGGAGAAAAATATAAAATTATAGTAATAATAGTAATAACAACTAAAATAAAAATAGCAAAGTTATAATTAAACGATAGAAAGGGTGACACCATAGAATTACAGAAAGATGAACAATGAAAGGGTCGATTCACTATGCTAATTACATAGTAACTTATATGTTTCACGTCTAACAGTGTCTTCATCACATAAAATACGGGCTAAGTACGGTATTGTAGAATTTTTGTACTTAGTGGTACGAGCATATAATTTCTTATATTGACTTCTCGTTCTACCTGATGAGATACAAGGGGATAATTGTGAATAAAGAGGGTGCAGAGGGTCTGACAGTACGGCCTTTGCCCAATTTTTACAGGAATTTACGTGTCTCTCGACTATGGTATTGGCGAGATCACGCAGTGGCAAACCACAAGCCCTACTCACAGCATTTAATACCCTTCGTAATACGGCATAGTCTTTTTTAAGAAGCCCAGGAAAGATTAATGGAGAACAATAAAGTAAAATGGGTAAAATACAGGAGTTTAAAAATCGCAGAACTAAAGGTTGGCTGATACCTTGTTGTCTTAACTTTTTAATGTAGAAGGTAAGACGAAACATTTTCTTAGAGACCAATAAAATGTGAGATGACCATGAAAGGTCCGAGGAAAGAACTAATCCAAGGTATTTAATGCTTGATTTGGTTTCAATTTCTGTACCATCTATGCTACAGGCATCATGGGAACTAACTAGTTCATGTATGTCACGTCGATGGTTGAAGGTAAAGTTAACTGCCTGACATTTGGAAGGATTTAACATAAGACCATTTGACTTAGACCACATGCTGATGTCCAACAAAAAGCTATTAAGTTTGGAGCAGTCAGACTCAGAAGTGATAGGCAGTGATACAGTCAGATCATCAGCATATTTGACAAAATTGGTTTCGTTTAAATGTGGCAGGTCATGTAAGAAGAAAGAAAAAAGAAAGGGAGAGAGGACGGCACCTTGAGGAACACCGGCTTTTGTAAGCAAAGCAGAAGAAGATTTGCCATTATATGCAGTATACTGCATTCTATCAGAAAAATAAGAATGCAACCAACTCTTAGCCCAGGATGCTGTGTGCGTCAAGGAGAGCTTATTTAATAAAAGGCCCCTAGGTACAGAGTCAAACGCAGATGTGTAGTCTAGGAAAGCACCACGGACATATTTGGCACCTTTGTCTAAACAAGAAACAACATTATGATATAAGACAACCGCAGCATCCAAGGTACTTCTACCATGTTTATATGCAAATTGCTTAGGGTCATTAAAAGCTTTCAATGAAGGTTCAAGACGAAGTAAAAGTAGTTTTTCCATCAATTTTAAAAAAGGAGAAGTAATTGCAATAGGCCTAAATTTACTATCGGTACCAGAAGATTGTTTTGGTATAGGGACAATTTTAATGTTTTTCCATGCAGAAGGTAGAACATTACTGGAAAAGGAAGCATTAAAAATATTAGTAAGAGGATAACACAAAATATCAGCACAGTTCCTGAGGACAATGGCAGGTACGCCATCAGGACCAAGGCTTTGGGAAGGCTTAAGAGAACGGAGACATTTAAGCACATCAAGGGTATTAAAACCATTAAAATTATTGTCTATGTGATTTGTATCATTAGGAAGGATATCGTCAGAGGAGCGTATGAAAGACTTATTAAGATTATTAACATTAAGAGATTGTACAGAATTACACCGCTTACCGCTAGTTATTTCTTTAAAAAGTTTCCATAAACTAGAAGGGGTTTTACATGACAAAAATCTTTGGTTGTATAAAACATTTAGTCTGTGCATTTCGAGTTTTATCAGAGGATTTAGCTTTTTTACACCTGACTTATCATTTGTTTTGAACAACAGTTCTTTATCTCTACGGAGCTTTTTGAGATATGGAGAAGAGAAACGGTCAAAACGAGTGAATAATGTTTCTTTAGGACAACATATTTCCAAACAGAATTTAAGATAATCTGTGGTGTTTGTGATTGTGTCATTTAATGTTTGTTCTGTAAATAGGTCCCAGTTAGTATCTATCAACATGCATCTGAGTTTGCTTAGATTATCTTGTGAGTAGCATCTCCGTTGAAATTTACTGTAGAGGTGAGAGAAGACACGTTTGTGTGATTTGGAATATATTTTAGGCAGTACACGTATGATGCAGTGGTCAGAGTTCAATACAGGAGCACGTTTGCGAGCTTCATATATACCAACATCATTGATGAATACTAGATCTAGTGTTTTTTCGAGACGGGTAGCAAAGTTAACAATATTGTCATGGCCAAGTGATATAAGGAAGGAGTGATCACAAGAGTTAAAATCGCCAGTCACTATTGATAAAGAGTTCTCGAAACAAGCTGCAGCAAAAGCGGTGAATTCATCTGCGAACATAGATAAATCCGATATGGTACAGCCAGGAGAGACATAAACATTAGAAATATAAATGAATTTGTATTTTGACAAGTGTCTCGGGCGACATCTGACAGTGATGCAATCAATGTAGTCATTCGAGAATTTGAAACAAACATTGTTAGAAATAGACCATTTTGAGTGAATAAATGTAGCTACTCCACCGCCGCATTTTTTCTTGGAACAAACACGGTCTTGTCGGAATACATTAAAATCATTTAAAGATACTATATTGTCATCATATGAGTCATGAAGCCAGGTTTCTTGTAGAGTTACAATACCAGTATTATGATAAGTTTCGGACAACAACAGGGACTGAAAATCCAGAATTTTGTTAGGCAGTGACCGACAGTTCGTACTAACGATAACCGGAACAGTAGTTTGATGTATGGGTGTAGATTTTAAAGCACGTTGCCAACCACCATGGTGCTTTTTCTTGAGTTTATTGCAAATATGAAAGTTTTTAGGTTTTAAGCATTTTATATAATCCCGAGAGTGAATGATACGATTAGAATGCATAATTTTAAATGTAAACACCAACAAAATATGAGTAAATAGATGCAAAATGTACATGGAATATGGTAGCCCAAAATGTTCAAACAGGCCGCCAAGGTCAAGGTCGTGGAATTGAACGTGCTATGAATGAATTTCTATAATCACATAAATTATATCATAACAATGCGTTTTCATATCTGCAGGCATACACTAAGTTATCAATAGGACATATCTGAAGTCATATAGCTGGTGAGTGAAGGCGGTGCGAGTGAAGTGTACGCGATTTCATGATTGATGAATGATGATTTTTCTATGAAACAGATAGTCGCTCATATCAATTACATAAGTAGTATAATGCATGAACGTGTGTTTGTAAATTGGCGATTGAGAAATATTGAATTTGGAGAGGTGAAATACAGTATTTTGAGTCGAGTAAATGTTGAGATTCCCGAATTTTATGTTGAGATCAAATCATCTAATGAATTTAAAAAATGGATGTTTGTGGGATGGTAGACAGTTTTAATACAGGTGATGATAAATTTCCTCCGCAAATTGAGGTTCTTCAAAATTGCGAATTATTTTTCTAAGCCTCCATGATTTTAAGTTCATGGTGGCTAAATATTAAGAAAAGAAAGGCAGTCCACGAATTTCTCGCTCACCGCAATCTCACTCTACTTCTTGTCGTATTCCATCGGCATTTGAGAATAACAAATTTGCCACGCGGTCGTATTCCATTAACCCAATATCATCAAAATTGTAAATTACACGTAATCACATATGACTTGTATGCATCAAAATAAGGCATAATCATCCTAGTCAGTGATTGATCTGCTCATACATTTTACTGACATTATTTCTACTGACGGTCTTCCCATTAAAAACACAATATTCCCATTTAAAGCCTGGCCAACAAACTCACACTTTTGTATCAAGCTGATTCTCGATCTATTTAGCATCGAATTTTCATTCCCAGATGCCCAGGGAATGCAATTATTCTTCACATGTACATCAGCTTGAAATCACCTATATCTACTGATAGAGGCAATGCAGATCTCACACATGCCTCAACATGCCTCAGAGAAAAACTACGCTGTATCATACGAAATTTATTTACAATAAGGAAAGATATTAATGAAGCAAAAGGAAAAGTATGAGAGCATACTAGAAGTTGCACGAAAACGAAAAGAAACTACTTTTGAAGAAACAAGGAAGAAACAAATCAATATTTTAATAAACTGATGATCGTAAAATGCACGAATGATATACAAGTAACTAAATCAAATTGGATTGTAAACATGTCAGACACAGCGGTAAGAGAAGCAGAGGAAGGCGTACTGATGAAAGGGCAGAACTTGACTATGAGTAACAAAAGATGAAAACCTGACGATGATATACCAGTGGTTGAAACAGCACTAGAGAGACTTGACAAACAAAAAGCAGAATTGGTATGGGCACTATTTGCATTTACTTTAAAAACACAAATTCCGAAATACTAAATATGACGAATGAGGAACTAACTTCCTGATTCACATCAGGTTTCAATCCACTTGCTGTCAGATTAACTTATATAGCTGCATCAATGAAGGCAGTCTTATGGGCAAACCCTGTAACTCTCCTGGCTTCTTTCAGTGTTTGTGATTTAATATGTGCGGATACACTGGAGTATACGACTGGAGGTGACATAAGATATCCTATTTCGATTATCTTCGGCAATATTTATCTCTGTGCAATCATGTGGGCTTGTCAACTGTGCATTCAACAATGTTTCTTTTAGATTTACTCTCATGATGGCGGATTGTTCACTCAACTGGTCACTAGGCTTGGTAGCACTTAGCCAGTAGCAATGGTGATCACCCTGCCTAAAATCACTCACCAGTGTTTCAACCGTGACGCGAAATTCTTCTAGGCAAATATGATGTACAGCTGAAAGTAATTAGACGAAGTGGAACAGTATGAATCGACTTTGTAATTCACTTCGACCAACACGTACTTGGTGTCACGTAATAATCTCTGATGTTACTCCTTCTCTATTCTCAGTTTGCTTGATAATACGCATAAATTACTGATTTCATCTGTTTCAGAAGACAAATGTGATTCAGCAAGACGGTAAAGATTTGGCCGTGTAGGTCTCAAATGATCTTTACGCAAGGATTTGTAAAATGTCCGAGGATAAATATTAGTCTGGATACATTCCTTCAAAAAATCACGTCACGCAGAGTGTTTAGCAATCCTACACCTCAATTTCACTAGATCATTTAGTGCATTGATAGTGCTTTCCGGGAGACGCTTCTTCAAGAAATGGAAACATTTATTTCCCGATACGAATTTAAAACAAGCAATAAAGGTTAATAAAGCAGGATTTAATGAATTCATCAAATTTCGGTAGAACTCGTCAGCTGAATACTCTACATACACGGATATATACTTTTGTTAAAGTTTGCCGAGGAAATATCCTTCTGATGAATTCAGTTCCCAGTAACAACCAACTGATGTCATTAATTTTATTAAGCTGCATGTTAATTCTGTTATTGCCTTGTGTGCATAGTCAGTGAAAGATTTAAACAGAAATGTGGGTTTCAGTGTAGAATCAATAATGCAGTATGCTTAACTTCTCAGGTGAATAAATAAGGACGGCGTTCCACTTCGCCATCAAGCTAATCAGGTCATCAGTGACACTTACAAAATTTATTTTGTGAAAAGACTGCGTCGTCTCTGTGCATTCACCAATGTTGCTCGTAGATCTACTCTCATGATGGTGGATTGTTCACTCAATTGGTCACTAGCCTCGTTGGAACCTAGCCAGTAGCAATGGTGATCACTTCGCCTCAAGTCAGTCACCAGTGACGCGAAATTCTTGTAAGCAAATATGATGTACAGCTGAAAGTAATTAGACGAAGAGGAACTGTATGAATCGACTTTGTAATTCACTTCGACCAACACGTACTTGGTGTCACGTAATAATCTCTGATGTTACTCCTTCTCTATTCTCAGTTTCCGGTCATTTAAACATCATGTGGAATGTTTAAAACAATTTTTAGCACCTGACGGTCTGATAAAATGTTACTCCAGACGACTAAAACGGCATCAGTTGAGATAGAGGGAGGGAGAGCCAGACAACAACCTATGGTCCCACTAACCAATATTCACTAAGAAATGATGGTTGACTGGATATACACAGTGAAGATCACCGAGTGACACCACACACTCTTCCACTCCACTCCACTCCACTCCTCGAACTTGCTCCTAGTCACTTATTGACAGATAAAGTATGTGAGAAGCAATTGATTTCAGGAGAAATCTCTATTTCATTGGAGAGACAATCACTCAGTGATACAAACAAATGAAATCATGAGTGAGATCAAACACACTGAAGTCTGATCAATTTGGCTACACTTCACCTTGAGGGAAGTTACTGATATATTTATGTATGGAGTGGTTACTACATGTCTCATCATCTCTTCAGGTGATCAGAAAGCAGAGGCTCAAGTTTATTTATTGTCACAATAGTGTGGCTCGTTGACGCCTTGTTTACAGCGAGTCGTCTAAACATGGAAATGGTGATTGGTTTTCTGTAAAGTGAGACTGTTTATCTCATTTTAGGCAAGTGGAAACCCACCGAATAATCTCTTTTGTTATTTTGAGCCACCATGAACATTACTGCATGGCGACTTGCAAAAATTAATGAAAACAAGAAGTGAACACGCATCATCGAGCTAAACAGTCATCACCTGTAATAAAACCAACTACCACACCACAAATAACCATTTTGCATAAGTGATAAATGATCACGAGAAAATACGATTTCAATGTGCACGTTCTCATTCCTGGAAGAAAACTGTCAACATTTTTAGAAGAATGCAGTCACAAAATCTTGTATTTCACCTTCTTGGCTACGATATATACCGATGTGACTGTTTCGCATGTGCACACGCACTATACTACTTATATAAGTGAATTAAGCGACCATGCATGTTATTCAAATATCATCATTTATAAATCTCGTTATACACTACACTACACTTTTGTTACAATGGCCTCACTCGCCAATTACAACAGTTCATGCATTTTTATTCTCATTGCATGGTGTGATCATGCACCAGAAGGTTGCTAAGACAATTTCACATTAGTGCATTCATTAGACGTATAACCGTGTGATACATCTTAAAACCAAACTAATATGGAATTACTT